TTTTGGATGTTATTGTGAAGGGTATGCTTTCCCTAATATCTCTCTGGTTTTTTGCTTGTGTACAGGAATGATATTGACTTTTGAGTGCTGACTTTATATCCTGCTACACTGTTGAATTTGGGTATTAAATCTACATGTTTTTCAGTGGAGTTTTGGGGGTCTTCTATGCAGAGTATTACATCATCTGCAAATAATAATTTAGTTTCTTCCTTTCCTGTCTTTATTCCTTTTATTTTTTCTCTTGTCTAATTCCTCTGGTTAATGTTTCCAGAACTATATTGAATAGGAGGAGTGTCTTGTTCCTGATTTTAGAGGGAAAGCTTTCAGTTTCTGACCATTTAATATGATATTAGCTGTTGGTCTGTCATAAATGGCTTTTATAAGGTTGAGGTAGAGACCATCTATTCCAGTTTTCCTTAGGCTTTTTTTTTTTTATCATGAGTGGGTGTTGGACTTTGTCAAATGCTTTTTCTATATCTATTGAGATGATCATGTGATCTTTGTCTTTGGTTCTGTTAATATGGTGTATTACATTTATTGATTTGCGTATGTTGAACCATCCTTGTATCCCTGGTATGAATCCTACTTGATCATGATGTATAATCTTGATGATTTGTTGCATTCTGTTTGCCAGTATCTTATTAAGGATTTCTGCATCAATGTTCATTAGGGAAATTGGTGTGTGGTTGGTTTTGGAATCAAGGTAATACTTGATTCCAGGGATGATCTTTGGAAGTACTGCTTCCCTTTCAATTTCTTTAAAGAGTTTCAGTGTTAGTGGCATCAGTTCTCCAAATTTCTTATAGAATTCAGCAGTGAATCTGTCAGGCCCTGGGCTTTTCTTTGGTGGTATATTTTTAATTATATTTTCAATCTCATTGGATGATAATGGTTTAGTTAGAATTTTTTATGTCTTCTTAATTTAGTTTTGGCAATTCAGTTGTCTAGGAATCCGTCCATTTCTTCTGTTTTCCATCCTATTAGAATAGAGGTTCTCATAATAGGTAGGTATTGATGTTCTCCTGGATTTCTGTGGGATCTATTGTGATTTCTCCCTTTTCATTCCTAATTGCTTAAATTTATGTTCTTTCTTTCCACTTTTTGATGAAGTTGGCTAATAGTCTACCAATTTTACTTATTCTTTCAAAGAATCAACTTTTGATTCATTAATTCTTTGTAAGGTCAATGTAATTTTATAATGATGCTGTACATTAGAGGCAGTGTTGAAGGTAATAAGGGATAAATTTGGAGCACAAAAACATGTAATACTCCTAAATGCCTTTTGTTCATGAAAAGGACAGAATACTTCCTTAATCCCATTTTTAGAAAGAATAAAACAAAACAAAATTCTGCTTTTATTAGTGACAGTAGCTTGACTGAGTAGCCTTTTCTTGGCCTCTTAAAACCTTACCACAAGTCCTGTTTTGCTATTGGCAGGTGTTTATTTCTAAAACTTATTTTATTTAAATACTGTCTTCCATACCATGCAATAATTTGCATCTATTAATTACCAACAGCTTCTTCCAATGCACCCACTGAGCCCACATTATTGCTAATTCATAAACATGAAATATCTCTTCGGGGTATTTGGACTAAAATGCTCTATAGGAGAAAAATGTTGAGTAGGTTGTGTGAAGCAGGTCTGCCATGACCACTGCATCTTGGGCTGCAGTTTCTACCACTTGAGAGCCGGGTAAGACAATACAATCACAGTGAGTTATGTAAAGCCATTTTATTACTCACAGAGGGACAGCAAGGGGCAATAGAAGCCTAAGGCTCATGGCGAGCCAGTCCCCAAGGCTTAGGAAGGCTGCTTAGGTCAAGATGGAGTCTCATCTGCATTTACACCACATTGCACCACAGCTGAAGGACCTGAAAAAGGAAGGACCTTAGTTTTATACCTGAGGGAACTTGCATCCTGGGCTAAAGCACTGCAGCACTGTTGCATTCATAGCACACTCTACATTACTCTGAGACCTACTACAAGCAAAAAATAGGGGGAAGAACTGGATCACCGGGGCTACTTGGGGACTTGTCCAGCAAGTTGCTCAAGTGTTTGGGGATAAATTTAGAGAAAAAGACTGTACAACTGTCTTTGTACTTTGTGTTGTACATTAAAAATGCACATTGAAAAATCATATACAGAATATTTTTATGTAGGAGATCCTTAACATCATTTGATTTACAATCAGAAAACAAACCAATATAAATGTTTAAAGCTTATTTTTATTTCTCTTCAGTCTGTATTTGTTAAGATAGTATCTACCAAGTAGTGAGCACGATATGTTACTGGGTACTGTCATAAATGCTATGAATGTATCATCGTATTTAGTCCTCTTGACCCAAAGACTAGAGCTCAGGTCATCCCTTTGCCACGAGGACAACATGGAGCCATGGAAACTACAAAGAATTTGACTGCCACGCAGCAAGGAAGTGGCTGAGCTGAGACACAAACATAGCTTGAAAGATACTAGAATACCACTTCCAAAAAATTGAAGCTGATGATTCACTGGAAGTAAAAGGAAGCAACTCGGAGAATGACCATCAGCATTAAAAAAATCAAACAGAATAAAAGATAAAAATTGAATAGAATAAAACAGTACTGAAAACAATCAGGGCATCAGAGACAAGAAATTTTTGTCTTGAATACACATTTAAGAATTATGTGAACTAGCTCTTGATGTAACATCCATTTCCTTTGGCTGTAAAAACATGAAAATATACCATGTAAACATTAAAAGAAATATTGTGATTTTTAAAGAGGTGAACATCATAGCTTAACTTTTTTTTCTTTTTGAGACAGGGCCTCACTATGCAATTCAGGCTGGCCTTGAACGCACTTTGTAGCCCAGGCTGGCCTCAAACTCACAGCAATCCTCCTCCCTCAGCCTCCTGAGTGCTAGGATTACAGGCGTGCACCACCACATCTGGCTCATAGCTTAATTTTTAAAAGATTTTATATAATGACTATCATAGGATGGAAGATACATATAAGCCCACAGCTAAATATTCTATTTTGTTTTTTAAAAATAAATGAAAAAAACCCCATCAGAATAGTCTGTTTATAGACTGAAAGAATTCATACCAAACCAAATCACAAAGACATGCAAAAAGAAGGTAAACACATAATCTCATTTATTTTGCTTAAAGCATAAAGGAGTTCACTTAGCAAATAACAGTAAGCAAATCATACAAATAAATGTCTCTATGAATATATATACACACACATCCATACATACATATATATATTCTTAAGAGCAGCAATCAATAACATAATGTGATTTTCACTAAGGAAGATTTCTAACAGGCTTTTGAATGGAAAATGGACAGGCAAGTCACTGCAACGCAATTGATTAGTTAAGAATGAATGACATCTGTTACCAAGTCCCTTGAACTCCATGGACTATAAAGCCCTCTTGAAAGTTACATTTAATTGCACCAATTGAATTTCATTTCTGTTTGACTTTTTCTCATTAAATTTAGATTAGATCTACAAACCAACCCATCAAGTCTCCATCTCTCTCACACTCCAGGGGGGAGGGGAGGTGTGAAAACATGCATGTTGGCCAATACCAGGGTTTTCTGGGTCTTTTCATCTGTGTCCTCCTTTCCAGGTCTCTAGACACTTCCTTATTGGCTTCCACTTGTGCACTCCCTTATCATCTTTACAGACGTACAAGGTATGAAGTCCAAAGTCATACTTAAAGTAGCTAGTGGATCTAAAATTGCAGACCACTTCTTTAACTCTTAAAGAAAAAGTAACCTTAAAAATTCCTAACAATCCTTGTAATTTAAAAATAACTTCAAGCCATGACACACTTCTTAGTGTACCTTTTAACAACTCAGAGCATTCTTTTTAGACATGGGAATGTTTTCAGTAGCACAGCCAACTTAAAAAATGGACAACAGTGAAAAGATGTCCAGTGGCCTTCAGAAGCTTCAAGTTCTAGGTATCTCCCATGCAGCCTGCAAGACAGAACGGACACAATGTGCCTTCCAGCTTGCCTTTGAAGTTTTCTATTATGTCTGGTTCTGAGGTGAAAAACTTAAAAACAAGAAGAGTTAAAAAAAAAAAAAGAAAGAAAGAAAAACCAGGAGGAGTGTGGTGGGGAGTGAAAATTCAAATACGTTGTGAGATCTCACACCCATTATGTTTCCCCTCTAAGATCTCAGCAGCAGTTGCCAAGGATATTCAAGGGCACACTTCAGAATCAGCTAAGCATAGAGGAGTGTGTTTCTTACCATTTCCTTTCCTAAAACTTGCAGACTGAAGTAGAAAAGAGATTCAATAGGGTTCAAAGGGAACTTGTTTCAAGATACCCTCTTGGATTCTAAAACCTATGGGACAATTCAATTAGAGAAGCAGCTGGGGAAGTAAAGTAGTGTCTCCTTTATCTTGGTTGACAACTAGGACAACTTCTCACAGCCTGATCTTTTATTTGCCATGCTTCCTTCTTTTCTGAAAACCAACTCCACCTCAACTGATCAGACTTCTTTTTTGTTGTGGTCACAAACATATTTTGTGAATGCAGAAAAAATGATACATGTAAATACAGTTTTACATTTTACAATGTACCCCATTGCAAATACCATGATATAGGATATAGAGAAGGGATGACAGAAGTCTTCATTCTTTCCTGTCAGAGAGCAAACCATTCAAACATAAAGTGCCAAAGAGAAATGGCTTGGGAGCGTATCTCTCCACAATCCAGAAAGTTACCCTACATTAGGCAAAGGCAATATTTCAAAGGGCAGAACATGTGGCCCCATGTATGGTTAATGCCCATGATACTGAAAAAAGCATAGGTAACATTCAGGAGCACTGCACTTGGGGAATAAAACACTTAAGTTACAAAGGATGCAGAGAGATCAAAGTGCATATAACTACTTCAACACATTCCATTTTTGCTAGAAAAGTTATTCAGTTCTTAAGACAATATCAGGGCTAAAGTGAATGTATGACACAATGTTTGTGTATAGTCATTATTCTTGCTTCTGATACTACACTTTATTTGTATTACTACATGTGAATCCCAAGTCTAAATGAAAACTGATGCTCATTATCAAAATGTTCACCTTTAAGGAAGGTGAAAGCGTAGGATCCTGTGAAGCCTGGAAACAGCTGTTTGCAGTCACAGTCTCTTACACATCTCCTCCAAGCTCCTAAGATTTTTCGTTTGGTTAGACAACATGTAACCAACCAAGTTCTTTTGACAGGGGATAAAACTTAGTGCATAAAACATTTGCCAGCACTATACAGGAAATGGGGAGAAATTTAGTAGAGCTAAATTTGGTAGAGCTGCTTTGATGTGGCTCAGGAATTACAAACACTGGAAATACAGACTGACATTGGAAATTGGATTTACTGAAGTTATTAGTATCCCACAAAATGAACTGTGTTGTTTTCTTTTAAAAAAACTGTGTTCCATCACTAGATGTAGTATATATACAATCAAATCTGAAAGAGTTCTATCACAAAAAAAACTGGGCAAATTACTACTAAATTAAAATGAATATGTGAAAATAATATTTACCCTACAGGAAAGGAATTGTGTTCTTAGTTGTATAAATATGTGATTAACTATATTTTATAAGCTTTCTACTATAAGGTAATATTAAGGAGTTACACTCAAGTCCTAGGAATGAATGTTATACTATATTGAAAAAATCCATTTTCTTTCCTTGTTTGTTTATATGTAGTATTTGGAATAAATTAGGAAACATAGGATTTAAGTAAGACACCAATACTTTCTAAGAATGTATCCTAGGGTCACAATGTGATTTTAACTCTAGGTTATGGGAAAGGATACTATATTAGTTAGGGAGCACAACATTACATTGTTTAACATTCCTAGATGTGTAGAACAGATTAAGTCCTGTTAATATAAACATTAACTGGAATAGCTATATATCTTTTATTATACTACAATCCGAATGTACAGAAAGATTTTAAGGAATTAAACAGACAATTGGATACAACTGAAAAACATAACACTTATAATATACAGTTTAAAGATTTTTAGTAATATTTCTTTAACATAAATTGTGCTTCATTTAAAAGCTCTAGTATATTACTATTTGAGGATGAAATTTCCAGCAGCTACAGCACAGGGTTGGGTAGAACAGACCACTGTAAAGGAGCTTACCCTGTTAGCATCAGCAGCTCTTTGACACCCAATGACTTACTCCAATTTATGAAGACGCAAATCTACACAGCAATGGTTTGGGAAACTGTTTCTCTTCTAATAAAATGAAGCAATTATAACATCACATCATTACAAATTAAGATGATTTTAAAGTACACAAAATACAACAATTTATGCCATGTGGTTATGGGAATAATATTCCTAAGAGACCTAAGTAATACTCTACTTCTGTCAAATATTTTGAAGCACAGAACTATATTTAAAAAGCATGTGATTTTCAATTTTTGATATTCATCCCTGAAAGAAGGCAAAATACAACAATAACATGTCTCTGAAATATAACTTCCACTAAATGCAAATTTCTAACACAAGGTCAATCTAGAAACACGTTTTAAAATTCAGCCAGTTGTCTTTTAAGTTAGTATGGTCAGGATATAATTTTTAAACACAATCTGAAGTGATTTTCCAACATTTGTTCACCATCTAACTTTTGCTCCTTCATAAAAATATACCCATGGGTCCACTTTCAGTTCCATAATTTTCGTACTTACTACCTCAAAATATCTTAACAAGACAGGAATATCTTTTCTCTATACATTTCCATATATGAAAAAGATTTTACTTCATTCTCAGAATAAGCCACCACTAGTAATAACATTCTCTTTTGCTTGAGCTTACAGTAAATCTGAACAGCTCAAAAGATTTTCATGAAATTATGAACCTGCTAGCCAGAGCTGAGGATAAGTATACTTCCTTCAAACAATTTACCAAGCAAATACAGTAATTAGACACAGAAAGAAACTGTCACCCCAAGAATGAGGTACTGTTCTTGACTTTCTGACCCTGCCTGGGCCCAAAGGACCTCCAGAGTCAGGTCATCGCAGGAGAACCTTATAGATGCCCAAGGGCCTTACACTGAGCTAGAAAATGGAACCACCTGCCTTCCGCCCACATAAACCTCTTCAATATTTCGGTCATCTCCTGAAAGGAAAAAAAAAAAATTCATTAAGTGTTTTTGTGTTGATAATTTTTTAAATTGTCATTAACAGAGATTTAAAACAAAACATTTCTAAAGAAATGCAAGAAAGCAGCCTTCTCCTCCTCTCTCTACCTCTTCTTGTTCATAATCTGGTCAGGATGACATGATCGGAAGATGCCATAGCTAATTTGAGGATTAGGCTTGGAGTTCTGCACACAAGGCAGAAATGACATCTAATTGAAACCACCTCTATCCCTGCCCTTTAGCTGAAGTGGTTGGCTGGCATTCTCAGCCCCAGTTTAAAGAGGAATATGAATCTTTACACTGCAGAATCATACTCAGCATGGTGACATGAGCAGCTCACAGAAACTGAGCTCCACAGGAAGTGACGTGGGCACTTCCCTCATCCTAAACTCATGCAGCACTGAATGCGTCAATGGAAGCGGAGGCAGAGGACACCCTTCTGCATTACGTCTTGCTTCTCTCTCTTGGTGACCAAAGTGAAAGAGGCGTTCAGTGGAAGCGCATGAGGAGAAAGTCCAGGATGTACTCACCACACAAACAATGGGACAGAACAGACTGGGGTACAGAAGGAGCGTAAGAGGGTTGAAAGTCAAGATCTCCACCTCTTTGTCCTTCGTTCCTCACCTTAGAACTTACAACAGTATGCACTAAGTGTTCGTGTGAATTTCAAATAAATATTGTGACACAAACAGGTTTGATGCTGAGAGAGTTAAAAATAAATCAAAGGAGACCGACATAGAGTTTAACACATAGTAAAATGAATACAGAGAACTAAATGCAAGAAAAACACAAGGATTTTATTTAGCATAGAGATATACATGTACCTACCTAGATAGAAGAACTTCTGGATAACAGCCTAAAATGGAACACAAAGAGAATAAGAAATACCTGTAATATCTTGTACATTCAGAAAAGGAAATTCACAGAAAACTGGTTGGAAAAGATCAGAAATCGAAACATTTCTCAATGTCAAAGTCTGTTTCTACTAATTAATAAGTCTTTCTCCCAAACAAAAACCAAAAACAAACAAACAAAAACTTAATTCACTGGTTATTAACAAATACTTATCTACTGGCAGAAAGTTACTGGTATACAATGGTAAATTCTTTGGAGAAAAAACATTATATAAATTAAAGAGATTCATTTAATGAAATAACTCAAATACTTCAGGAGGTATATGATATAAAAAATGACTAGATGAATGGGGTTCTCAGAAATTCACTCTAGTAAAAGGACAAATGAGACTAATGGTGGAGTGAGGACACATTACCTAAAAATTAAAGCCAGGACCAACCCTCTGACCTTCCTTCACCTTTCTCTTTGAAGCAGGTGCTTGAATCTAGGGAGGATTTTCTGACTTTCCCCTGAATCAGGTCGGAAGACCAGCTTGTGAGAGGTGCCCTCATTATGCTTAGGGGCACAGAGCATCCTCATTTCTGAAGACAAAAGTTCACGTAGAAGCTGAGCGATCAGGTCTTGCTAGCGTCCCCCAGTTTGGTATCATTAGATCACACTCTTTATTGCGTCTACCCACAACTCTACGTTATTCATCAAACTTAGAATAAAAATACTCAGATTTTCTCACTTCTCTAGATTTTCATTTCATTAAGAAGGATGTTTTGTCACATCAAACAATATGTTTTCTGGCTCATCTGTCTTTTGTTGTAGGGACTTCAACTTGAACCTAACATGGAAGAGGAAGAGATATGTTTCCTCCCCTAAAATAACAAATGACACAAACTCGAAATGATTCAGTATTTTTCTTTTAAGCACCGCAGAATGATATATTTGTTGCCACATTTATGTTAATAAATAGGTCCACTTATAAATGACAATAGTTAATTCTTTCTTGGAAAAACTATCTTATAAACAATCATTATTAAAGATGAATTAGTTTTTGTATCCATAAGAAAAGGTTTTATAATAAGAAGAACAGAATCCATTTTCTGATAAGAAAACTGAGATATCATTGTGGTTAAGACTATAGCCTCTGATAGTCAAGGAAACTTCTGTTTGAATCTAAACTCTGCTAAGTAACTACTAGCTATGAGTTCTTAGGTAAATCCTGCAACTTCTCTTAAGCCTCACTGATGCTATGATTAACATGGCAATATTAATAGTACCTATCTCTCTTGGAATTGTTCTCATGATTAAACAATATTATGTCTGAGAGTGCCTAACATTTAGCCGGTATTCAGTGTAAGCTAACTATAGTATAGCTCCTTATAAACACACACATACAGCTACACAAACATACAAGATACAAATATTTTCTTACTACAAATTACCCTAAAGACAGTAAACTCGCAAGGATCCTCCTGCCTCAGCCTCCCAAGTGCTAGGATTACAGGCGTGCGCCACCACGCCCAGCTAAATTTTCTTAACATTGCTCTCACGACATGATAATAATTATCAGAGGGATCTTTAAGATTTTCCTGCATCTCCTTAGAATGTTTCAGTTTCTATATTCTTTTCTACAGGGAAGCTATTAGGACTTCCATGAAATAAATGTCTTTTGATTAACTTTCTTTTACTTACATCAGAAGCATCAGAAGCAAAATCCCCACAGAACAGATCAATGGGAGAGTCAGATGCTTTGGGGTTGATCAGGAGGGCGTCAAATTCTTTGCCTACTTCAAAGTTTCCGATCTCATTCGCCAGCCCCAGGACTGCAGAGGGGAATAAGTGCGCATACGGTCAGTCCTGCAAGTCATCAGATCACATGGACGAGCCTGTCTGCAAGGACAGAATCTCCCAACACATCACTAGAAAAGAAATTAGTGTCTTAATAGTGGGGCAAAAGAGTGCTCTTATGTGAATAGGTCACATGAATTCTACTTACAAAAGCTGAGTAAGCACAGGAAAGCAAAATCTGAGAATAAAAACAGTTCCCTTCATCGCCATAATTATAATTGTGATGGTGTCTCTCCATCTCAGCTCTATCAGAGCACTTTGCAGGTAGTTGGTCTAAGCTTTTCTAAGTCTAGTATCTATCTTCTTTTTCCCTTCTCTTCACCCCGCAACACTCCAGTTCCTTTCTTTGCCTATTTTTTCATGAAATAGCTGACAAGATTTATTTTCATGACAGTGAAATGAATTTTAAGTAAATAAAAAATAATTATCCTTTTGTATAATTTGCCAATGCAGGCATATCCATCATACATTTTGTACTTTAAATTCTCTGGATAAAAAAAACTCACTTGCAAAGTAAACAGCTTCTCATTGTTCAAGCGTCCCAATGGTTTTGAAAGGAGGCCAACTGCCTTGTAACCTCAAAGGTTTTCTAGCTGCCCGAGAAGAATGATTTTCTAAAATAAGGCATAGATCGGTAATGTGTACGGACTTGGCCCATCTCACAGCTGTAATTCATGTTTATGATTACTGGATGCCAAGGAAGAACACCTCTCCTTTCTGTGATTTAGTTTCAACAGAATCATATATGGCTTTCCTGGTCAATGCAGGTATTGAAACTAAATCTCCTTAAAGCTTATAATCTAAGCAAGTGAGTTGTCAGATGGAAACATGCACAAAAATAGGTTAATTGGAGTGCGGTGTTATTTATTTATTTCAATTGTTACATATGATGGCTGCATTCTATTACTGTCAGAACATAGTCTGCTTTGAAAGTACTGAGTAGATTTTCCCTGGGAGGCAATGCAGTACCTGATACATATTTTATGAATATGCATCCGGACTTGGCAAGGCTGAGCATGGCTTACAGTCCTTGTTCCTAAGAGATTATTTAAATAGCAACTCTTTTATTCTCAGAAAAGAAAAAAAAATTTTTAGTCTAAAAAATTCTCATAGCAAGAGAGTGGTATGAAAATAATTAGAAAGGTTAAAAGCAGTTAGATGACCTTCTAATTGTAGGGGGAAGGGTCACATATGATGGAAAAATTCGTAGAAATTTTTCTCCTTCACTGATTACACTCTACTTCTTTTTGCCTCTGACAAAGAAGCATAGTTTTTAGCGACCGTATTCAGCATAAAACTGTTGTGTCTTTTATAGGACAGATAGTTAGCTCCATATTATTAGCACCTGAAGTGTTCAAGAATGAGCTAACCAAAAAAGACATGGTGCTTTCAATGAATTGTAAACTGATGTAAATTCAGATTGTTGCCCATAGGCCCAGCTGTGAGGGTAAACAATTCAGATGCATTTTGCTGCCTTTGGAGTAAGTGTTAGCTACGTGGAGATGATTCACATATGATCGTCTTTGATCATCTTGACAGTGAGTTTAAAGGCTGTGGCAGGGCTCAGAAAATGCCACACTTGAAACAGGAATCCATTTATCTCATTTTGCTCCAACTATAGTAGAGACTCAAGTTAAGGAGAAGAAATCCTGTAACAGTCACCCAGTGGCCCAGAAACACAGATTTAAAAGGTACATTGCAAGGCAGAAAGGATTTGGTAGGCATCTCATGATGGCTTGATCAGGAACAGCATCCTGCTGGAGCAAACCACAGACAGCCTAGAATAAAAAAAGGATTTGTTAAATTCAACTTGCTTGCACCAGGAAAATAGTAGAACAACTTGAACCCAACTCAGATGTGAAAATACTGTGATGAGGTGGGTAAGAAGGTGTCACAGTGTAAAGAACGGGCCACTTGAAACTTAGAGTTTAAAAAATGAAGCCATAAGGCTTAAACTGCTAATTATTTTTCTTGAAATGTTCTTTATGGTGTTCATGACAACCTAGAACATTCAAAGAAGAGTTAAGAAGTTGCATTTAGTAGGATAGTCCTAGCCTTTGGGTCACCTTTTATTTCTAAGGCACAGAATGCTACCATAAATCTACATCTCTAGATCTGTCTCTTTATGTTTTTAAATCTCACTGGTTATCTATGATTTTATGCTATTCTCATGACTTAAAGCAATACAATCACATTTTAAAATAAAATTACAGTTATAAATGAAAACTGAGAACTGAAGAACAAATATTTGCTTATAAGCCAACTATATTTTTACATTTTCCTTCTTTTAAAGAGGCTTGAGCAATTAGCATACTTAAGTACATTAATCAAATACATACATGGTCAAGGTAGGATTTACAGAGGAAGATATTAAGGTAGGATAGAAGGTAAGTGGAAGATAGAAGATAAGATAAGAATCAGTACTCTAGCAGTAGATTTTCTAGATTCAAATCATGGCACATGGCAGCTCATCAGCCTTGTAAAATACACCTAAATTCCTTGCTTGTAAAATGAAATTAAGAGCAGGGCTTGTGAGGGTTCAGTGACAGCATACACAAAGTGTGTTGCACTATGCCCATGACATGGCAAGATCTTAGTAAGTCTTGGTTTTCACTTTTACTATTAGTACCATTCAATCCAGTAGAGAGCAAATACCTGACTCAATGAAAGATTATTTTAAAGACCACAAATGCATGTGACCAATGTAAATATCCATTGAGATGATTAATATGATAATTGTCTATCAAATATCTCTTCCCCCAAAGACAGTAAATTCACTGAGTGATTCTTCTACCACATACCAGGACATATATTTTTCTAGCTAAGTTTTGGGTATGTTGCGGGAGATGTGACAGGAATACTGAATGGCCCTGATTCTACTATCATGCACCTTCACACTCTGCCCCAGGACACAGATTAGGATAATGTCTCAGAGAGAAATAAAACAGTCATTACCTTGGCTTCCTCCAAGAGTAGCCAGTCTGAAGACTTCTTTGAAGGTGAGGCTTTTCTCATTTACCTTATTAATTAAAAGGACATTGGAAACCATCATTGCTCTTCTGATTGCATCGAGCATGGAATAGGAGTAACCCCCAGCCACATCTATGGTGAGCGAAATAAAGCCAGAACAGTAACTATATGAGGATACGTGGAATAGCAGGTATATACAGCTCTTTTTATTTTGGTGATCAGTGTTCCATCTTTAATATACTTACGGAAAAGCTCTTACATATAAATATAGGTCAACACTTAAAAGACTTTGAAACCTGTAATTAGTATCAAATGTATACCTTTATTAGTTTCCTAGAATTGCTGCAACAAATTACCATAAATGTGGCTTAACAACAGGCTGAAATTACTTCTTTCACAGTTTTGGAAGTCAGAAGTCTGAAGTCCAAGGGCTGACAGGGCCACTATCCCTACAAAAGCTTTGGGGAAAACTCCTTCCTTCCTTATTCCAGCTGATGGTGGCTCCTGGCATTGCTTGTGTTATAGTGGCAGAACTCCAATCTCTGTTTCTGACTCAAATGGCCTCCTTCCCTCTATGACTTTATATGTCTCTCCTTTCGTTTCTTATATAGACGGGTCATTGGATTTAGGCTCACACTACTTTAGATTGATTCCGTCTCGATATCCTTATCTTAATTACAACTAAAAAGACCTTTATTCCCCATCAAGTAATACTTACAGCTTCTGGGAGACATATTCTGGGGTCACAAAATTCAACCCCTTATAATCATTAACTCATTAATAAAGTTAATTTTTTCATATTCCCCAAACTATAACAGAAACTGTTCAAATGTGTCTGCATACTTTGAAAGATAATTTTGGTAATATAACATGTGATTCAAAATAAATTCAATTCTATATTCTAAAAACTTGTCCTAACTTTATTTTAATTGAGACAAGAACTTTCTTTCCTTCTTTTTTTTTTTTTTTTTGTCTTTTTGAAACAGGATTTCGCTATGCAGTTCAGGCTGATCTTGAACTCACTGTGGAGCCTAGGCTGGCCTTGAATTCATAGCTATTCTCCTGCTTCAGCCTCCCAAATGCTTGGATTACAGGGATACGCCACTGTGTCCAGCTACTTTAGGATGAGCATATATTCTGGGAAATGAGTATAATAACTAAACAGTGCTGATGCAGTCAGATTTCTGTATTGGATGGCATCATGAAATCAGATTTTTTAGTGATTTAAATAAAGTACCTAATTATAATAAACTGAAATACTACCTTTGAGAAGAACAAATGTACAAGGTAATGAATGAGGGTGAATAAATGTTAAGTAGGTTAGAGTGTTTCACTGGAATAACATACACTTATAGCCAATAAAATAACCTTTTTAAAGGGTTCCTTCTGTCATTTCTAGGAAGACATATATAGTTGTTTATATGCAGCAAAGATTAAAAGTAATTTCTTGTTTAACAGCAGTTATAGATTGCAGCTCAACTTTGTTTGACTGTCTTACATGTCTCTAGATATACTTGTAAGGAATTTGTATAGAAAATGCTTTTCTCTAACCAGGACAATATTGCCAGAGGATCACCCAGTTTCCTGAACTTTTATTACACCTATTTAAGTTATTAGTTCTTAAAGGAGAGAGTAACCATTCATTAAGCCTTCATTATTGCATTATTATTACAAGTTAATTAAACTAAAAGAATATAGAAAAATCAATGCCAAACACTTAATAACCAACCAGTATGAACTGACTTCCATATCAAGAATTATTCTATCACACGTTTACTTAATCTTCAAAAAAATTCTGTAAGACATCTAATATCATCAACCCCATTTTAAAGAGAAACATCAAAGCACAATGACAAGTTACACTGTCATCTGTCAAGGTATCTTGCCTCACAAGCTAGGGGTAGAGCTGGAATTTGAACCCAGGCTATCTTAACACTTGTATACTATCTCCTCTCCAAAGCAGGATGTTCTCAAATCTGATTATTGGCAAATTTATCTTGGAGATGTTTAATTAGAGAGATCTCTCGGGACTCTTTTGAGAAGCTGCTGAATCAGGCCCAACAGAGAGGGAAATGGAAAATAGCCAAGCTTCAGGAGAGACAGTAGTTTGAGATAAAGCTGGGACTACGGCAACATATGTGGGCCTGCTCACAAGGCTACACATACCAAATCCTACTGGAGCCTGGTAGGCACAAAAGGGTGAGATCATCAGACTGCTGTGACTCTTCTAAAAAATAAAATGGATTACAAGGGACCCAGATGGACCCTTGGAAGGTAGTGTCATACATCAGCAAGAAATGATGGCCGCTTGCGGTGGACGGTGGTGGCTCACGGGGGAAAGGAGGTCAGGTTCAGAAGGTAATAAGGAGTCATGAGGTTGGGCACTGCGCTGGGTTAGGAATGAGAGAGATAAGGGAGAAGATCCCAAAGATATTACCCTAGTGTCTACCTCAAAAAACCGAATTCTCTGAAAAGGAGACCTAGTTAAGAGAGGAACTCTGAAAAGTGTTCTGCAGTATAATGAGGTGTTGGTGTTTTTTTATGTGAGGCCAGAGAAGAGAAGGCAGGCAGCTAAAAATGCAAGATTAGAATTCAAAGGGGAGTTGGGGTGGCAATAAAAATCAGCAGTTGCTTGCCTGTGGTGCAGACACAGTTGTGGGTGATCCCCTAAGAAGCAAGTGTCAAGCACAAGGGAGACTAAGACTGAGTCTTGAAAGAAGCTTTTCCACGTAACTACGAAGAGGAGCACAGGTCTTCTGAGAGAAACGAGCTGGCAGGAGAGGAAGAAGAGAAATCATAACAAAAGCGTTTCACCAACTCAAACCTAAGATGGTTTGGACCAAGAAGAGAGAGGTCAACTATGGCAAACACTGCTGAGATATACAGTGAGACGGGCACAGACTGGTATCCTCTGGAGGCAGCGGCAAAGACAGCACAGTGGTGGCGGACATCTCAGTGGCAGCAGCGTGGGTCCCCAGTCTTGGACAAAATGTGGTGATAAAGAGAAGCAGAGCTGTAGGCAGAAGCCTGAGGAGGATGTCTGAAGGAGAGAAAGGCGCGTCTCTGAGCAGGAAATCTCAGAAGACTCAAGATGTTTGTGTATTTGTGGGAATGATCCAGCAGAGAGAAGGTACTGGGGACGCAAGAGAGTCAATGGCCAGAGGAATTTATTTGAAATAGTGGGAGAGGGGAAGTATACGAAACACACTTCAGGTATTCTTGTTTTTTGGCCTTTGATTCTGAAATGTGCTTTATTTTTCTTTTTAAAGCTGTAGCAGGAAAAAAGAGAAAAAGAAAATGCCAGCAGATGCAGGTAAGCATTTAAATATGGTGGTGGGAATTTAAGGGAACAATTTCTGATTTTTTGACTTTGTGATGACTTAGGAGACTATAAACTGGGAATGAGGATAGTATGAGTTGGAGTAAGAAGTTTAAAGATAGGTAAGAAAGGCTTTTTTGGAAAAAGGAAAAATACATTTACTAGAGATACATAGACGCCTCTATTCCCAGTGCTGACGGCCATTTGGGATTTGATAGCAGATTAAATAAGACATCACTGGGTGTTTTTGTTTTCCAGCAACTTCCAGATGCCTAGCTGCAGGCACTGAGAAACACAATTACTGAGGTCACCAAGGGTTGGGCTTTTGCAAAATGAACACAGAGAAAACAAGAAGGATACGAAAGGCAGTGTGAGCTACTCAGGCATCTAGGAAGGGTACACAAGAGAGGGAATAATGGATTTTGTGAAAACACGGGATCACTGGATTGAAGGCGACAAGGAGAGCAATGAAATGCTGATTAAGGATAATGGAAGGAAATCATAACTTCAGAATGAGACACTGACCCATGTAGGATGATTGTTTTAATGAATTTGTATGTCTTGCTTATGCAAATTCACAATAGTTTTATATATTTCCTTCTGATTGCTGTTTTTGGATTATTCATTCTTTGGGTTTGCTGTTATGTTTCTTCATATTTCAGATATAAGGTATACTATTTTTATAAGTCTCCAAGTAGTTATCTTTAATACAGGTTAAGTATGCCTAATCCCCAAGTTCAGAATCCCCAAGGCTTCAAAACCTGATGACATTGCAAGTGGAAATGATCTTCCTACACTTGTTATAGCTGGTGAATGAACTGTTCCTGGAACTTCTCTCAGTCCACAGTATGAGTTTAAATATTATCTAAAGTCCACAAGAACAGGGAAAACTCATACATGAAAGTTATGTTTGGGAAACAGCAGAGTACAGAGTGGCTACTGGGTCAAAGACTACATAAAACTGAAATAGCATTCTTCAAAGTAATAATAGAATAACAGAAGCAATAATACTAATAATAGAATACCTCATATTCTTCAAACATTTAGTCAATACACCAGCCTTGCTCCTTCCCTTTACCCCAATCTTGACTGATCAGTGTGTTGTGGCAGTCTGTGTCACAAAAATTTGCAATCTTTTCATGTAATTTTCAAAACAAGTTTATAATTGCTATTGTTATTGTTATATAAATCAGGAAATGAACCTTTAGATATTTAATTTGCTTAAAATCTTACTCTTATGAGCTAGATGTCTCTTTCTTTCACACGTTTGAAGGTACACCTATACAACCCAAAGTCAAGAATCAGAAGTCACATACTGAATTTAAAATATGGGCACCAAATCCCAGAAACTCTGAAGGTAAAATTTTTTTTTTATATCTGCTTAATTTTTCATATTAATAGACTACATTGTATGTTCATATTAATTGACTCTTCACCATTCTTTTCTTAACCATTAAAGCTTTCCTATGAAAGTAAAATAACTACTTTTATATGTTGACACCTGTGATGACATTCAGGTTTGACCACAATATCAGTGACATAAGGCTTGAATTAGAAAATTTTTAAATTTTAAGTTATTTTGATTCTATATAAAATTGTAGAAAACTAACATCTTTTAGAAATATAAATAAAATAGTTATGCCTATTACTGTGTCTTACCAAGTAACTGTTTGATATAATAAAATACCTCACTGTGGCAAAATGAGGTTTAAGCTATTGGTGAAAGTGATGGAAAGTGTCAGAGTCGACACACACGCAGCCTGATGGTATGAAGTACCAGACAGACAAATGCACCGAGAACAGAATGGAAAATAAAGTAAAGTACTGTATGATTGTACTCGTATTTGGAATATAACAAAGTTGATTATATAGAACTTGGGAGTAGAATGGTGGTTAAAGAAACTGGGAGCATGGAAAGAGGGAGAGATGGGAAAATTATCTGTAAATGGAGACAAAGTCACAAAAAGAAAGACAAGTTCTGGAGTGACACTACAGATAATGTACTATGTATTTCAAAACAATTAGAAGCCAAGATTTTGAGTAATTTCACCACCAAAGAATGATCAGTGTTTGAGGACATAGATATGCTCACCCTATTTTAAATACTATACAACGTATACATGTATGGAAATATTACATGATACCCCATTAACATGTATAATTTTTATGTGTCAATTACAGTTTTAAAACAGATAAAAGAAAAATTTTTGTGCCCCATATAGTCTCTTTAATTTTTTTTTTTTTTAGTTATTTCTTTCATAATAAAAGAAGGCTCCCAGCAGATACCTAGACATTTGGGCCTGACTCTCACTTTAAAAATGAGCAATAGCACCTACAGTCAGGAGAAACAACTAGAGAAGAAAGCAGGCATCACTAACTCAGCAACTGCCTTGAATGTCTTCAGCCAGTAATCATCAGATGCCTGTGAGAAGCCGGGAGTCTCCTTTGGCAAAACTGCTTAAAAGCAAAGCTTGTTCTTCTCCTGTCTCTGAGTTCTTAGATGCTGGTGGAGACTGACTGTGTGGTCACTGTGGCAAAGCTGAGTAAGTTGTCTCTTGAGATATCTGTGATAACTATATTTTGAAAACTTAAAATCCCACAAATCCAAATCAGTAAAACCTAGCCAGAAGGAGACAAACAAAAAACTAAGGACTTCTTTCTAAAAAATGAAACTGCAAAATCCTTTAGGAAGATTCATAACCCAATCTATTTCTAACTCAGTCTCTAAACAAGAAGTCAGGACCATGGCTGTGTATGTGTGTGTGGGAGGCGGTGTTAGTGTCATCAAAACTCTTCGCATACATGTTCTTACTGCTGCCAATCAAACTACTTGGCTAGACACATACTAAGACATCACTATCAAATAATGAAACTTATGTTTCTTAATCATGTAACAGTTAGCTGCAAATCAGTCAGATTAGAAAGTTATTCACTAATTGACCATTTTTCCATAGCTTCTTACAGTGAACTACTAACCTGTTCCCAGCCCTATCTTCACGTTATGTTTCAGGACTTCAAGCACATTTAGAAAGCCACTGCTGAGCCTGTAGAAAGAGCAGATGTCAGAACAAGCAGGGAAGCAGGTCCATGTGATTCCAACAAGAACAGGATGCTAAAATAATGGTGACACCACTGAAAACTGTACTTCCCATTAATATCCATTCTAACACTGACACAAACACATTAGTCAAATCGGGCCATCCAAGTTGTGGAGCACCTAAAGAGCTTGTCCCTGGGCGGAGGTCACACTCAGGGAGGTACAAGGAAGCAAAAGTCAGAAGGGAAGCAGAGGGTCACTTATATGAAAGAAAAAAATAAACAAAGAAATTAAACTTTAAAATCAATCCAAAAGTTTTATCTGTTGCAAATATTTTTAATCAAATCTTTCTTCACTAGAAAGCAGAAATTATATTATAAAGCTTTGTCCTTCCTCTATGTCCAGAACAAGTGGTAACCCTGAATGACGAGTGATTTGTGTCAGCATTCAGAAAGTACGTATGGTGCTTTGGACCTCAGGAACCATCTCAAAAATCAAAGTCTGTCTCTGGCTGTCTCTTTTACTCCTGTTTCCTGGATTTTTTTTCTCCCCTGTAAGGCAAATCACAGAAACTAGAATTTCTTAGGGCTGGGGTGGAGCTCAGTGGTAGAGCATGTGCTTAGCATGCGCAAGGTGTTAGATTCAATCCCCAGTACCAAAAAAAAAAAGAAAGAAATTTCTGTTACTCAAGCTCAGTCATAGAAACTTAAACCTTATTTCCCCAAAACAAGCCATAGAAGCTAAATTTTACTCTACTCTCCCCTCCCCATTCTATCTCAAGGACTATGAAAAATTCTTTGACTTACCAGGCCTTGTAAAAGACTATGAGACGCCTACTTTAGAAGGGTCCTGCAAATATTGCACGGAGAGGTCAAGAACTTGAACAGCAGGACTTGATAGACCTTCTCACTCAATCTCTTAGCATTAGGTAAATCTTCCCTGTCTACTTACATTTCTATATGGTTGTCCATGCCTCATCAAATCAAAACACAAATAGGGAGAGATCTCTCTGTCTTTTCATCTTCATTCTAAAGGCTCCTGCACAGCTAAAACTTTGATTAAATAAATTAGTTAGGCTCTTTTCCTGTTAACCTATCTTTTGTTACAGAGGGTAGGCCATGGCCCTTATGCTGGGTGAAAGAAGGCACAAGCCCTTTTCTGCCCTGCAGTTACAAGATCAAAGCTGGGAGGGTGCAACTAGTAATAGAGGTACAGGCTTGTAAGGCAGGGCCTGAGTCTAGATGCTGCTGCTGAGAACAGTACTGAGGATAGAAGGTTCTTGGGTTGATTTCTGAACCTCATGACCATGAACTTAACAGGTGTGCCATCTTTCTAAAAAGACAAACTAAAGCATATCCCTCAAAGTCCAAGAAGGTGCAAGGGTCAAATTGATCTGCTCAAAATGCACATGAATATAATTTCCAAAGCTCCAATGCATATATAATAAGCCTCTCAAAGGTGCTTGAGGTAAACAGAAATGTATCCTCATGAAATTTAACTGGAAATTTCAATCTGTGAAGCTGGATCATGTTGTAATTTAGAGGATGTTGTATAACTCATCCAGAGAATGTTAAGTTTTTCCCCTATTCTGCTCTCAAGACCATAATTAAGGTCACATATGCAAAATTCCTTGTCATGGTGCTCTTCAAGTGCATACTCTGCAAAAATCCCTCTTTTTTTAAAAGAGAAAAGAACAATAACAAAATAACAACAATGAAGACAAAAACAAACAACACAAAAACAATCAAAATGATACAGGATTTCAAAACAAGACGACAGGAATTAAGAATGGTTGCTCCCCCACCGCAGTAGGGTAAATGTCCACCTACACAGTTTCTATCCCAATCATATTTAATGATAAAAGACACATCCTGGAGGAATGAACGACTCAGAAAACAAAGGTGTTTGGCGGCCCATCTGCAACCCACACACTCATGATTTACCAAACTGTTATCGCCTACTTACGATAAATTAGAATTGGGACAATGCGAGATGGAAGCTCCCCGTTCACGGAATATGGCCAGCTCTTCTGCAGAGAGGTAGCAGCCATGCGCCATCACTGTCTGGAGAGAAGATGTCCGACATGGAGTTCATCACTCAAGAATGCGTGCACCAGTACGGTCTCTCAAGGAGTTATTACAGGGAGACAGAAGCTGTGATTCAGTTGTTACCCTCTTTATAAGAAGAATTATGATTATCTGTATGTATGAACTTCCTGGGTACAAATCTTACACCTTCAGAAAATGCATCTGAAAATATTTTATCACAAAACTAGGCAAGTTTGTGGATCTTACTTTTCTTTTTTTGTTTGTTTCTATTTTTTATTATCTTATAAAATAATAGGGGCTGGTCCAGGTAACCTGCAAATAAGATATCCTACCAGTCTGAAGTAGTTGGATATCCTATTCTATCATCTCTGCTTTTGAAAACTGTCAAGCGGCTTTCTTTTCTAAATGTATGTGGTGAGCTACCGGTAGGACTACACTTATTCCTATTCTTATCAGAAATTTCTAGAAATACATGGTAGCTGTGAGAGTGATTCTGCAAAAGTTGTTCTTTATTTCTGATCCTAGATCTAACATGGCACTACCAATGATCTTAACACACACCACCAAACAAATCTTAACTCACCTATATTCCTATTTTCTTGAAACTAGGCAGTCTAACATAAAGATTAATTTAGAAGGTAAAACTGATGACAGAAAGCAGGCACTGCACATATATGAGACCTCTCCAAATTTTTAGTCTTGATAAAATGTGTGAGTTTTTTTTTTTTTAATAAGACTTTACTTTTTCAGGATTGGGGATTTAGCTCAGCAGCACAGCGCCTGCCTGGAAAGCTCAAGGTCATGAGTTCGATTCCTGATACCAGAAAAAAAAAAAAATTTAAAAAAAGTAATAATAAAATAAAGACTTTACTTTTTCAAAATTCTTTTCTCCTTTGTATAAAATCTGGATCTAAATAACTTTCTCTGTTAAAAGTCATGGTTCAGTGACCAGAGAATTATCATCAAAATAAAACTTTCCCAAACCCTGTGCAAATAAAATTAACATGCACAGTGAAGGTTAATTTCTTAGGCATATGGAAACTGCAGAGAAGGATGAAAATTATCATGTAGCATTCACACGGTTTACACAGAATAATGTCCTTTTGCATCAGTTACATTCATATCTCCCGCTACACACTCATTCAGAAATTATTTGCTGCAGTAAATTCTCCATGCAGTTTGTATATTTCAAAGACGGCCAAGGCCAAAGACTATGATCATAATGAGGTTTCTTATCACTCATACTAATTTTAAATACTTATAAAAGTAATACATACTCCTTTTTAACATTTTAAGTTTAGAAATACTTCTGCTTTCTCCCTCAGGAAGAGTCTCTTTTATCATTCAGTGTGTGCCTTCAGGCAGCTTCTTTTAAGTAAGAACACACCTACACATCAGAACACTTCAAACTATACTGTGCATTCTCCCTTGGGAGCCTGTACACTTCCCCTTCGGTGAATGTTGGCAGAATTCTAATCAGATATATTTTATAATTTAACCAATCCCCTACTGATGGTCATTTTAAAATTTTTATATGTAATTAATATTCCTATTTATTTTCCTTACAGAAAGGATCCTTAGGAATGCATTTGCTGACTCAAAGGAAGGCACACTTACATGCTAATTGTACTGACAGAGTATCTTTGGAACAAATGACATTCCACCCTCACCCTGGAATGGAGCCTTAGAGTTGACTGGGATGAAACCACACACCTGTCCGCGAGCAAGCGCACATGCACACATACACACACACACTGGATTTTCCCCTAGTTTGGTGAAGAATGCATGTCACAAAAGGCTGAAGATCACAGCTGAGATTTTAAAGTTTAAATAAATGTACCCAACTTTACATACGTTATACCATAAAACAGAGTGTACCTTATCTGTGAGAAGATTGTTTTTATCATAGACATCTGTGTAGTGCTTATAACTGGGGAACAAGCTCTTCACTGCTTCAACTTCATCCGGAGTTTCACTTATATGGCTCTACAAGAAAAAATAGTATTTTCACATTTTTTTCTGTTAAATATTAGAAACTACATTGCCTTCCTCAAAATTTTCTTTGGTTTCTACTTGTTGATATCGGGGACCATCTCATACATGTGTTTTATTTTAAATAATTATACGCATCATGTACAACAATATATGACCAAAATACTATGAAGAACATGTGTGTATAATCTCAAGACAAATTTTTCCAATGAAGTCTTTTGCAAATCCAATAGTAAGAAAAAATGCAAAGAACTCCTGCAAGTGTGTCAAGAGTTCAGGAACCTTGAACATTTGTAGGAACCTACCTTATCTGCTGTTGGCCATTTAAAATGGAGTTCAGAGTGTCACAGACAGATAGCAGGGCTGGAATCTCAGCAAAAGTGTTTGAGTTTTAACCCAAGTTCTGACCCTAGGTACTAGTCTTAGGGCAAATAAGTTCTTTCCTTTTTCTTGTCTCTCAAGTAAAAGGGCTGGGCTAGATGAGTGCTTTTCTAAATTCTATTAGCTGCAGGTGTGTTATTCATACTTCATGTTTGCAATTCATAGAAGTCAAACATGTAAAAGGCATTAACAAGTTGTCCCTCAGGATGATAAGGACCAGGATTCTGCTCCTAATCTGTCCTCTTTGTTTTTTTCTCAATGAGTTCCCCTGCAGAAAACAATTTGAGAATAACCAAGCTGGACAAACCTGCAATCATTAAGGAAGAGTGCACAGGAATCCGTGTGCAAGCAGAGCAGGTAAGACTGAGGCCCTGACTGACCTTTCTCCAGGTCACACAGCTTGAGAGAACAGAAGGCACTTTTGAGATACAACACTGAATAACCACTCCAGCTGGCCATGGTAGAGCATGTCTGTAATCCCAGCACTCGGGAGGCTGAAGCAGGAGAAACTCATGAGTTCAAGGCCAGCCTGCGCTGCATAAGCGAGCTCAAGGCCAGCCTGCAGCACATAGCTGTCTCCAGGAAAAAAAAAAAAAAACAAGAAAACCCCAAAAAAACCCACTCCAACTGACAGGCTAAAAGAAAAGTCATTTCAGAGCTTTTGGTGATAAGTACTTATTACGGGAAATAACAATGAGCAAATGAACAATTCCAAGAATAGCAATGCCATTTCTCTTTCTCCATAAGGGAGAATATACAGAGCCAGAGAAATGATAGGAAGAGACAGCAATGTTCTGCAGACAGGTGTTTCACCTAGCCCCTCCTCTGGCCCTGAGAATCTCAGACTATTGTGGGAAGCCCTTGACACAGGAAGAGAAGAAAGGACAACCAGATAATTCATGTCATTTTGGATTTTGGTAAATGTCAGTAAAAACACAGAAATCTACATAGGTCCTAAGCAAGAACAGACTTGGTTGCATATCTTTCCCATTTTAGTTTGTACATCTTTGTAAATGTTACCGGTGCTTTATTTTTTTAAGGAACACAAGAGTTTGGTTTTAAAAGTAGAAACATCATCTAAGCCCTTAACTTTATCTCCAAGAGATAAAGTTGAATCTCCTGGGGTGTGTGGGGTTGAATCCAAAATTCAAATATCAGAGACCAAAATAAATAAAAAATAGGAAAAAATAAGAAGAGTTAATGGCACCTGAGAAGACAAATAGTTTTTTAAACTTACAAAATGGTAAAGTATCAATAATTTGCCACTACCCTGAGTTGCCCTTTTCTAAAATAGCCAACTCTTAAGA